AGACCCGAGGGATCGCAGGGAGAGGGGGGACCGGGGGGATCGCAGGGAGAAGGGAGACCCGAGGGATCGCAGGGAGAGGGGGGACCGGGGGGATCGCAGGGAGAAGGGAGACCCGAGGGATCGCAGGGAGAGGGGGGACCGGGGGGATCGCAGGGAGAAGGGAGACCCGAGGGATCGCAGGGAGAGGGGGGACTCGAGGGATCGCAGGGAGAAAAGAGACCCGAGGGATCGCAGGGAGAAGGGAGACCCGAGGGATCGCAGGGAGAAGGAAGACGCGGGCGGGTTGCATGGGAGAGAGCAGGCTTGGAGGCTGCAAGAGAGACCTGAGGATACAAGGGAGAGAGGAGGCTTGGAAGCTGCAAGGGAGACAGGAGAGCCGCGGGGATGCAAGGAGGGAGGAGACTCGGAGGCTGCGTGAGAGACCTGAGACCCGAGTGTGGGTGCACAAGAGAGGACCCAAGGGAGAAGGACCCCCAGAGGGTGTAGAGAGACCTAAGACCCATGAGCTGCAGGGGAGACCCGAGAGATGTAAGGGATTCTGGAGACCAGAGGCTGAAGGGAGAGCGGAGACTTGGGGCTGCAAGGCTGCAGCGAAGAGACACCCAGGGGCTGCAGCGAAGGGAAATGCAGAGAGGGCTGCAAGGCAGAGAGGAGATCCAGCAGCTGAAATCAGCTCCACCATCCCCTATTTCTTGTCACTGTTCCCAGTCCTCACTGCAGGTCATTTGGGACTGTGATACCCTTAAATCAAGCTACTGTGCTCCTGGAGAATGCTGCAGGCTGGCAGCAGGGTCAGGATGTCTTTTCTTCTTGGGTGGGAAAGCTGGCAAAACGTGAGCTGGATACTCCCAGGTTTATATAGAGTTCAAATTGCCTATTCCCATCCCCAAGTCTGGACTCCTGGAGGTGTCTTTTGGGAGTGTTTTCTGTGTGCAAGAGTGGAGCTGCAAACAGCCTTGAGGTGAAGAGAAAAGAGCTTTGATTTAAAACCAGCTCTGCTTTTTAGGAGCCTGCAGGCCACTAGCTGCTGGTTTGATCAGTGACCCAGAGCTCTCCAGAGCTGTAAACATCACGTCTGCCCCACAGACTCTCCCTCCCCTCCCCTTGCAAATTCCTCTTGCAAATGTAACCTGTGCTGGACTGAGTGGAAAAAGGCATTATTACCTCCCCATATAGCAGGGGTGAGATTTCAGGCCAACCTTGCAGCTCTTTGGGTGGGGATGAAGGGGGTTTAGATAATTTCTATCCCTCTCCAGAGGTTGAAAAAACCACAAACTGATTCTTTTTTCAAGGCAGAGGGCAAAGCAGAGCATAGTGTCATCTGGTCAGGTTTAGTGAGAGGATTTTAGACTAGCTGAGACATTTTACACCCAGTTCTTGTGTTGTGCAGCAGTTCACAGGCAGGAGATAAGGAGTCTGAAATATCTAAATGGGCACTAAAAGGCATGGGCAGGATTAAGGCTTGAAGGTTTCCAGTGTGCTCATGGAGAAAAAAAAAAAAGAATAAAAAGAGCTCCAAAAAGCTTAAAAGATACAGAAATACCCTGAAACAAGATGTATGCCTGGATGCTCGTGGAAGCACTGCCTTCCAGGGACACATCAAACCCAAATCCAAGTGGGCATTAAAGCAAAACAATTTATGGTAATAAAATCCTGCATCCCTTGTAGGCAGCCAGTTTTGTCTTGGACTTCAAGGGAGCTTGGAACTCGCCCCTAGAGGTTATTAAAATCCTTTGTAATAACAGCACTTCTCTACTAACCCTTTACACCAGGCACTGGGCTTGGGATAGCCAAAAAGCAGCCTGAATGGAAAAATATGCAGAGAAAACACCCAGAAATATTCTTTCCCCTCACCCAATTGCTCCCCAAATGGGGATATTGAGGCAGAAAGCTGCAGCTGGGTAAATGCAGAGCTGGGATCAGGTGGGATGTGCTTTTCCCAGTGTAACAGTTCCTCAAAGTGATGCTGGCTGCTCCAGCCATTCCCGTTCCCAACCCCCTTAGAGGGATGTGGGGGGATGCACAGTCACAGCTTGGGGATGCCAGTGTGCCATGTGATGAGCTGGGAGACTGCAGAGGTGCAATGTGGTGGGCAGGTTTTGCTGTTTGTTTTATGATTGGCTTTCTCAGGGGGTGGGAAACCACCACAAAGCCCACAGAAAGCAGCCTGGAGCAGTGTCTGAAGTGAAGAACTGAAGGGAAACCCATTTACTGCTATTAATACCAGTACTAAAATAAGCAAGCCATGCCCTGGAGGCAGAGGGGACCCCTCTAAGAATTTCAGTCCTGCACCTGGTTTGTTGATTTGTTTGGTCTGAAGAAAGGCAAAACAACAAAAAGAAAAGGAGGGGAATCCTTGAGAGCTTTTTTGTCTCCTCCTGGCTGCTCCCTGGAGCCAGAAGTGGGATTTTCTGTTGAGCAAGTTGCAGCCTTTTCCGTGAGCTCCAGGTGCCCCAGGACTTGGAAGAAGTGAGAGGCAGAGTTAATGAGGTGA